CCCCAAAACCCCAAAACCCCAAAACCCCCAATTGGTAGATTTCTAATATTTGGGTATAAAATTTACTTTAATTTTTAAATGTTAATGCTAGCTTATACAGTATTTAAATTAACAAATCAATTCACATTTAAGTAAATATAAAGACTGCTACTTGCTTATATTTCAAGCAGATTCAAACCATTGACTCTTAAAATCGATTGGATTGTCTACTGCTCTATCAATGTACCCTTAAAAGTTTAGTCATAATTGCAGTGAATTCTTTTTAAGTTATTCCACCATCGCAATCATCATCAGCTTCCTCAATCATAATTCCTATATAAGTATCATCTTTAACACCTATGAACTCTTTCAAATCATCTCTTGTAATGAATCCATTTTTATCCATATCAATCCATGCAAAAATACTCTAAAGGTTACCCTCACATAAAAGGGACTATTTATTGCAAGCCCCCATTAAAAACTCAGTAAATGATACTTCACGGTCTCCATTCAAATCGATTTATCTAATTACCTTAGTCATATCAGCTTCCAGTACATTTATGTTAAATTTTGATTTGAAATTCACCAGGAATTCCTTCAAGTTAATCTCTCCATCCTTATTGTCGTCTAGAGTTTCGAACATAATTTAAAGGTTGTCTTTTTCCTTTTTATCAATTACAGTCTTCACCATAAAGGCTAGCACCGCCTTCTGAAATTAGTAACCAAAGAATAAATTCTTCATATTATTCAGTGCATCCAGAGCTATTTTCTTGTTAACAAGCAAATAACTCTTAGTCTGCTCACGGATCCATTAATTTTTCAATGCTAAATCAACACTTATTCTGTCTAAGCGATTGACTTAAAGCATACTCTCAATCAGCTCCTTTATTTCTTTGCTGTTATTCTCCACATAATTTGGAAACTGACAGGACAGCACACCAGTCTTTATTTTCTCAATTGTCTATTCTTCATTTTGCTCGAAAAAAGGTGGGATTCCAGTAACCATATTATAAAGAATGGCTCCGCAACTCCATATATCACAATTTACACCATAGTTTTTTTTACTTAGAAGTAATTCTGGGGCACGGTAATATGGGCCTAATCTTAGCATTGTATCGAACAAAGCATCCTCCTCAGAAATGGCTTTATTTTCAATTACTGTTATAAAGTCAACGAGCTTAATATCGCTGACTGCACTGTCACTTTCAAATAAAATTGTCTCAGGTCTAATATTTCTATGTACAAACCCATTTTTATGTAAATATTTTACAGCTGAAAAAATATGCTAGATTATCATTGCCGCTTCCTGTTCGCTTAATTATCCATGTCTAATAATCCTATCAAATAATGAGAGCCCGTCGAAGGTATCAATGACAAAGTAAATTTTGAATTAATCCTCATAAGCTCCATGGATCTTTACTATGTTAGGATGGTCGCACTTTGAAAGGGTGACTAGTTCTTCATGTATTAGCTCCATAAGTTTATCATTTAAATCAGACTTCCTAAAAACCTTACAAGTTTTAATCTCCCCAGTTCTTTTATCTTTTACATGCCTGATCTCACACAGTTCACCTCTGGCAATGCATTTTCTTTGAAGCTCGAAATAGTCCTCAAAGTTTCGAGGACTAATCGAGTCTATTACACCAAGCGAGATGTTTCGAGAATCCATAGTAGAATAATGTTATAGATCAGAGTTAATATTGAATTACTCAATAAATTAATTATTTATACTATTAATTTCAAGAATCCTACAATCGATCTCACTCAGAAGTAAAAATCAAACTTCATTGGTTTTGTTATATCCTCGGCATAAATCGGTGGCTTCTCTAGATAACTGGGTAGAGCAAGAATCTCCATTATCATAGACATATCCTGCCTTCCAAGCCAAAGTAATTTATTCTCATCATTTATTGCTTCGCCAGAATCAAACAAGCTAAAATCAAATTGGTCTCCGTACACTCCTCCGATACTAGTCTTAAAGATATTTTGCTTCTCCTCTTCAGTTAGTTAGTTATTTACAACAGATCCCAAATTTTGTTTATTATCATCTTCAACTGCATCTTTGAATGTAGGTAGATTCCCTTAGAAGCCTTACTTGAAAAAAATTGAGGGCAAACCACCAGCTTTTTCTTCATTGCGTATCTCACTTGCAGTAAATGTATTTGGCCCTATTATTGTGGTTCTAGGCTCAGTAGTTGTAGAAACAGGCATGTCAGGCTAGGCAAATTGATTATCATCAGCAAGTTAAGCATTTAATTACATTTTTGCTATTTATTGATGCTACTTTCTCTATTAAATTTGCATTATCTTCTCTGCCTCTCTTTATTGCTTCATTTGCATTTACTGCTATTATTACTATTACTCCCTCTCTTCTTGCTTTTTCCTTTCAGCCTCTTTCAATTCCTCTTCATATCTCTGAATCCAATCATGATACTTAGTATGTAAATCACATTTATGCCTTGGCTGGATGTTTATAATGAAAAATTAATTCTCCTTTCGCTCATGGTCCCCGCCTTCAATAATGAAACCAGATTTCAGTTTGGAATACATTGATTGGCCTGGCATTCCAGAAATGCCAGATCTCATGCCACCAGGCATACCAATCGACGATCTAATTTGATTTTCTCTATTCAAATGAGTTTTCTCATGAGCAGTTAAATTTGAACTCTGGGTGAATCTTTTGTTGCAACTTGGATAGGTGCATAGATATGGCTTCTCACCAGTATGAGTTCTCAAATGAGTCCTTAAGTTAAAGTCTAAAGAAAACTTTTTGCCACAAAGCTCACATTAGAAAGGTTTCTCTCCCTATACATCATTAAAACTTAGATTATATTTACAGTATGAACTAACTAATGACGCTTTAATTTGCTATTATCTAAGAATCTCTTACCACAACCTTCAACTGGACATATATACTAAATTGGAAGTTTAATACTCAAGATTTAATAGTATAGACAATCTTACCTATCGTTCCCCGTGAGTCATTAGATGCTTTCTTAATGACGAAGAATCTTGGAAGATTTTGCCGCAACCAAGCACATGACAGGTATATATTTTAGACCCGCCTTCATCAGTCTTTTCTGAGCCAATTATAGGCGGCTTTTTGGGTCTGCCAATTATACTTCCTTGATTTTCTTTAGCTAATATCCTTCTCAATTTGTTCTTTAGTCTCTTATCAATATTGTGCTTATGCTTGTGCCTTAACTGATTTCTGGCTTTGTCAAACCCTAAAGTGAATGAGATTAATATTTGACTATCCCAAATTGTCATTAGCGCTCTTTTATGATGCTTTTTAAAACTTACCAATCTTTTGTCTACCCATTTGACTTAGATTCAGACTCTTAAGTTTCATCTTCTGCGCATTAAGGGTTTTCCCAATAGCATGAATTCTTGGTCTTATTATCTAGTTAGACGGTGCCTAGGTGATGTTTTTGTTCATAACAAAGTTCATAAGTCCATCATCGTCACTTGATGACTGATCAAATCCTTCCATTCAAAAGTTCACACTAAAATACTTTCTTTTAATTAATTATTAGTCAATAAGTTCTTAACTAAACTACCTTTGTCTTTTGACAATGCAATAGATTGGGGTTTTGGGGTTTTGGGGTTTTGGGG